AGAGAGAGAGAGAGAGGAGAGAGAAAGACAGAGACGAGAGAGAGAGAGAGAGAGAAAGAAACAAGCAGAGAGAGAGAGAGAGGGAGAGAGAGAGAGAGAGAGAGAGAGAGAGAGAGAGAGAGAGAGAGAGAAGAGAGAGAGAGAGAGAGAGAGAGAGAGAGAGAGAGAGAGAGACAGGACAGGAGAGAGACAGAGACAGAACAGAGAGACAGACAGANAAACACAGAAAAAACGGAAAAAAAGAAAATCGCAGAAGGAATTCAGAGAGAGAACAAGAGAGGAAGGAAAGTGGGAAAGAATGTCGGGAATAACAGCGAATCGCACTATTTTCCCCGCCACGTGTATTTCAACAGAATAATCGCCTTTCGTTGGAGTCGAGCGAGAGAGGCGAGAGAGAGAAGGAGAGAAGGAGAGGAGAGGGGGAGGCGAAGGAGAGAGGGAGGGAGAGAGGGAGGGGCAGAGGGAGAGGGAGAGGGAGAGGGAGAGGGAGAGGGAGAGGGAGAGAGGGAAGAGGAGAGGAGAGGGAGAGAGAGAGAGAGAGAGAGGGAGAGGGAGAGGGAGAGAGAGAGAGAGAGAGAGAGAGAGAGAGAGAGAGAGAGAGAGAGAGAGAGGAGAAGGAGAGGAGGGAGAGGGGAGAAGGGAGAGGGGAGGGGGGGGAGAGGGAGAAGGGAGAGGGAAGAGGGAGCAGGGAAGGGGGGTCAGGGAGAGGGAGAGAGAGGAGAGAGGGAGAGAGAGAGAGAGAGAGAGAGAGAGAGAGAAGAGAGAGAGAGAAGAGAGAGAGGGAGGGAGAGGAGAGGGAGAGGGAGAAGGAGAGGGAAGGGGAGAGGGAGAGGGAGAGGGGAGAGGGGAGAGGGAGAGCGAGAGGAGAGCGCGAGAGGAGAACGGAGATAGAGAGATAGATAGATATGATAGATAGAGATAGAGAGAGTTAGGAGTTAGAGTTAGAGTTAGAGTTAAAGAGATAGAGATAAGACGTAGAAAATAGAGATAGATAGATTGATAGAGATAGATAATAAAGATGGAGGAAAGAGGAAGAAATGAATGGGACAGAGAGAGAAAGGAAGAGAGAGGAAAGAAGAAAATGAAAGAAAGAGAAGAAAGACTGTAAAGGAAAGAAGGGAAGGAAGAAGAAGAAAGAGAAAAGAGATAAAGGAAGAAAACGGACTAGCAGCAAAAAGAGAGAAGCGGAAGGAAAGGAAAGGAACGAAAAGTAAGAAAAGAAAAAGAGAAAGGGAGAAAATAGAGAACTATGAAAAGAAGATAGAAAATAAGATATTTAAAAAGATGAAAAGAAAAATAGGGGAAAAAAAATCACCCTTATGCTCTATGAAAAGAAGATAAATATAACCCCTCAAAAAAAAAAAAAAACAACCTTATGCTCTATTTAAAAAGAAAAAGACCAAATAAAAAAAAAGGAAAGAAAAAAATATAGCACCCCTTAAAAAAAAAAAAAAAAAAAAAAAAAAAAACTTATTGGTCCATCCTCTTCGTATTTTTTCCCCCGCCTTTCGCAAAAGACCATCAATCGTCATCATCTAATATTAGCCGGGGTCGTTTTCATGGCGTTGACAGAATCCTTCTTTCTTTCCCTTCCTTCGGCTGGCAGCTTTGATCAGAAATTCCGCTTTTGAACGGTGGCTATTTCGGGTCTCTTTGTCTGTCTGTCTGTCTTGGCTTGTCTTTCTGTCTGAAACTGGCTGGTGTCTGTTTGTCTGTCTGCTGTCTGTCTCTGTCCTGGTCTGTGCTGCTGTCCTGTTCTCTGTTTTTGTCTGTCTGTTCTGTCCTGTCTGTTCTGTCTCTCTCTCTCTCTCATCTCTCTCTCCTCATCGTCTCTCTCTCTCTCTCTCTCTCTCTCGTCTCTCTCGTCCTCTCTCCTCTCTCTCTCTCTCTCGCTGTCATCTTTTAGTTATCGGAATGGAACCAAAGATTAAAAAGTAATTATAAACGCATCTCTTGCTGGTTTGATTTAACATATTTTTAAAAGAAATTGTTAGTTCTTTAATGTTCTTTTTTTTTTTTTTTTTTTTTTTTTTTTTTTTTTTTGGGGGGGGGTGTTATTGGTTTACTCTTTTAACATTATTTTCTTTTTATTTTATTTAATTTTAATTTTTTTAAAGGGCAAGCAAACGAAATCCTAATTTGTCATTTTGTAATGTAATTTATTTATTTATGCTGCCATCGAAATATTTTCACCATCAGCAGGGTGTACCAG